GGTTGGACGGGGCTTGGAGCAACTTGGGCTAGTGGAAGGTGTCCCTGCCCATGGCAGGGGAGTGGAATGAGATGGTCTTTAAGGTCCCTTCCAACCCAGGCCATTCTATGATCCCATAAACCCCTCAGCAAACCCCAGCCTCCAGCACAGCCTGGTGAGGAGCCATCCAGGAGAAGCCACCCGGACCCCCAAGGGCTCCGCAGCGGCCACCACACGCCCACAACCCCATCCCCACTCCCTGAGCCGTGGCTCTGCCTGCCAGCAGTGTTGGATTGAGTGCCAGCAGGATGCAGGGGGTGCCGGAGCCGCCGGGCTGACCTCTGGCTGTGAGCTTGCTGTAGATCTGCGAGTTCACTTCCTTGTCCCGCATGTAACATCGGATCTCCTCCGCCGCCTCCCGGATCACCGTCACAGCCAGCACAAACCCCTGCGAGGAGCACGGAGGGGGGACACAGAATGGATGGAAAGGTCAGGAAAAATCACATCTGCCTCTAATAAGAGCGATACTTGTCAGTGCCAATGCCAACAATCTGCATTTCCTTATTCCGTCTTATCTTCCTAAATCGTACGGTGGTATGTGCTGCTGCGCAGGACTCCCAACACCAAACTAACAAGAGTTGCTTAAAAAAAACCTCATTGCTTAAAAAAACACGGTTGTTTTTCAGTTTTACCGTGATTCTCCCCCCAAGAAAATTTTTGTAAAGTTTATCTGAAGAATGTAAATAACATATTTCATCTCAATTCACAGGTAACTGAGAGGGGTTACACAGGAGTCCACTGGAAGACAGGATCCCTCAAAACTCAGTACTCCTGCCACCACAGAGCCATCAAAGTTAGCTAACTTTCTTTATTTTATATCCTTATTTATACAGAAATCTACACAGAAATTTAAATATACAGATACATAAGTAGAGAATGCATGTGCCTTCCTGTGTATGTACACACACACTCAACCTGCACAAATAAGCACTCTAAAGATATTAATGTGCACTACTCATGGTATAATTACACATTTGCCTGATTAGGGTTTCAGTCCTACTTTTCTGTGGATATGAGCAGTCATTTCATTTCCATTTGTCAGGAGGAAAATGCCCACATCACACCCTTCACTGTATAAAATGTAACTAAATTAACGCAAACAAATTATTTATGGGGTTAGTATCAAAAAGTCCTATTTTTACTAGACATTATTGAGCTCAGACTCACTAAACAGTTAAAACTCTCCTAATCCATCACAGAAAATGAACTTTATTCAACCTGTATTGTTGAAAACTGCAACTGTGCATTGATTATCTCTGTCAATAAGGAACTTTTCCATTTTTAGAAGGGGGCGAGGTGATGTTGGAAACTGAAGGTTTCTAGCACATACATCTGGGTTTAAATGCACGATCTAATTCATTAATACAGTAATGAAATGCAAGGTAGAATGTTTCTGCAGTGTTTAAACATGTAGACACATGTAGAAACCCCAGGATGGGCTTTAAAACTTTTTTTCTTCAACTTGCTTGAATAAATAAACCTTCAGTGACCTACCAGAGGAACCCAGTACGTGTAAAGTGCACCAAGCCTCATCTCAACGACGAACTGAGAGCAGGCCAAAAGCAAGAAATAAAGGTTGAAGAAGTATTTGAACTGGTTAAACAACACCTAAAAAAAAACGAGAAAAGAAGAGGATGGAGGAGATTAATGGAGTTCAGATGTTATGCATATTGACCTAACCACCAGAAACATTTTTGCATGCTCTTCCAGTGACTAAACGCCAATTTGGGGCAGTCTTAAAGTAGTCCTGGCCACTCAGGACAGATCAGTGTCTGCCCTAAGGCAGCCTTTGCAGGAAGCCTACCAAACCCAACCCAAACATGATTTTCTCCAGCTCCAGGTTCTGCACCTGTCTACTGCAAAACCACTGCAAGTGGGGAAAGCAATAGGGTGGGACGATGAAAAGCAACTTTATTCACACTTACCCCAGGGAGAAATGTAAAAAAGTTGTATTTCTGATTGTTGATCACGTTGCGAGGGTATCTCTGGTCTCTCTTCTCGGGATGGCCAAGCCAAACAGTGCGAGGCCTCGGGTCTCTCCTCCCACAGCATCTTAAGCACTCACAACACCTGTAGGAGGAACATTAATTAATTCATTCCTTCATTTTTAACACACTTCTCTGAGTCACACACATTTACCCCAGACCTTTTCTTTCCACAGGTGGGAGCCCACCTGCCACCAGCTCCAGGTGCCTCACAAGACCTTCAGCCTGGCACAAGGGCCAGCAAGAAATCCCTGCTCACATGAATTTTAGTGATGTTACAAATCCTTACTCCAGACAAGGAATCAAACAGAGCATCAGTCCCTCCAGGGAAGATGCAAAGACGCATCAGAAATCCCTCTTGTACCTTGAAAAAGCCTCTCTGTTCAAAATCACAGCATTGTACCCTCCCAAACCCCAAAAGGGTTATTTTCCTGTTGTCACTGCTGCTTTCTGAAAACCAATCTCTTCCCAACCCTCCTTGTTCCTTTAAAAACAGCCCTATTGAATTTCATTGACATTTGGGAAAGTCAGCATCAGCTGGATTGATAACCAAAAGCTTCAGAGCTCTCACAAACATCCTTCCAGAAAGCACCACAAAGATCTGTTCTTGAATCAAGCATTCTGCCACAGAAGTTCACTTAAATGCGCAGCTAACAAAGAAATAACTATTTAAGGAAGTACACAAAGCGTTCAGCTCTTGAAGTCCCTGTCTTGCAGGAAGATACATGCAGCACCATGATCAGAGTGCACAACTCACCACACAGAAGGTGGTTTCCTACAAAGAACCATTTTTTAAAATGTTTTATGCCCTGCTGGATGCGAATAATCAGATAAGTCAGTTCCCTCAGTACAGAAGGGGAGTAAAAATCAACTTTGCTTTCAGAAATAAAGAAGAGGTGTCACCATGTGATCCCATGCTACGTGAGCAGACACAGACATTAACTTCCCAAGGCTGGCTTGCAAGATAATTTCTCATGAGCTTTTAATACTAGATAAAAGAATTTTTGCATAATCAAATTACTTAGTCATTATTCTATTTCATGAAGAGTGACAGATGAGCCCTGGCAAGGTGGATTTTCTCTAGTCTGTACTCAAGCACAACCTGAGCCCTAAGTGTAGAAATGCCACCCAAACAGAGGAAAAGTGGTTTTCTTGCTCAAAAAAGCTTTGAGAACAAAATGCTGACAAGACAGCAGAACATTACACGGCACTCCCATGCTGGCACTGAAGGAACACGAAATCACAAGTTTTGGATGGTTCCCAACAGTCTCCTACCCCTCCAGGTTAAGTCAAACCCTCCATTCCAAAACCAGAGGATGTGTAAGGTCTCCCAGTTTCAGTAATGATCCTACTGCTTTCATCCACACCAGGTATCGCTGACAGTGTACAGCTCCATTCTACCAACACCACTGCTGTTGCCAGCTCTGACCTGCATTTGCTGAAAAGGAGAAAATCAGGAGAATGCAGGAAAATCAGAGAAACAAACACAGTGGGCAAGGCCAACAGTTCGAACCCTGATAGCAGGGAACACCTAAATCAAATTAGTGGAATAAAATAATTGGAGATGTTTTAATGTTCAGATATATACAAGAGGTATCTGACATCCTACAGACTTGCAGCACCACTGTCATATCTCTGCTTTCCTCTGTACAGGGATATTACCTGTTATTCTGAATTTGTAATGTTTCTAAGCCAATAGACTTTCATATTTGACTATTCCCAAGGTAGTAGCATCCAAAAAGTTATGTTTGCCCCTGAAAATCTCAATTCTTGTGAACTCTACAAACTATTTTTGCTTGTTAAGAGAAACCAACTAACAGATCTTTTTTTCCCCACACATTTGTGTACAAGCCCACATGTGAAAGGCAGCTTGTTACCAACATGAGACAAACAGCAAAGCTGGTGTTAAACACTCAAATTCATAAACTCTACTACAGAAGTGTATTTTATTAGCTTGATACCTTTTAACTACAGTTTTCCTTTGTGTTTGCAGATGAAGACCTAAGACAAATATTCAGTGGCATCCCAAATACATTTTAACGGAAAATAGTGGAAATGGTGGTATTTGGATCACAGCAGGAAACAGATATGCTCTATAGAAAAGAAAAAAGAAAGAAAAGAGGGGGGGAAAAAAGTGGTCTTCCTTCTTTCACAATGAAGAAAAGGCTCCAAAAAAGAGGCTTTGCCCAAGGGAGCAAATCTGGTGTCCACACACCCCATTTCATCACAATGTGCTTTGCATTTACAGAATCAGTCAGTCCTTGTAATCAGACATCTGAAACCAGTTACCTTTGTTTATTTTTTAGGTTGGGCCTCTTGTAGGGATTGTACTCAACAACAAAAATACCCACGCACCTATATCATAATATTTGCAATAGGATAAGTAAGGCTAAAAGAGGGGACTACCATCAATTTAATATAATTTTTACTTGTCCTGGCAATATTTTTTTTACAAAATAAAATTCACCCACATGCTCCAAAGAACTTTCCAAATACCTGAGCACATCTTCAAACCAATACCTAAATGTCCAAAGCAGACTTTCAGACTTTTAGTAAGTTCAATGACTTATCAGTGTGTTTTCTTCACTGATGTAAAAGGCAAACAAACCCCCTGCAAAGTAATCAAAATATTTTACCTCAAGAAGAGTGTGCTCTGACCAGCTGTTTACATACCATTACACTGCTTTTAGTTTTTTGGGTTTGAAATTACTAGAAATTCACTACTCTGTGAATGCTAACATCTAGCACTGCAAAATTCTGGTGTGGTTCTAAATAAAAAACCACTGGTGCGGTTCTAAATAAAACAGCATCCCCCAAAACTGAGAGCACTTACAAAGGCAGGGAAGCAGAAGACAACTGCACAAAAGTGAAATTACCCAAAATTTGATTTCTGCAATAAAAGTACCTCTCGTATCATTCGCACCACAAAGATCCTCTTTGCTGTAAGAATTTTAATTTACAAATGCCGTGTTACTATAAGGTTTAAGAAACAACCTGAAAATAATGCAGCTCCAAGTAGAAGCAAGGAAGGGCATGGGAGAACCTGCTATGCAAAAATAACACATTTCTGAAACTGCTGCCTGGCTCAAGTCACAGTTTTGCAACCTCCTGAATTACAGGGAAAGCAAACTGAAAACCTAATTAGAACAAACAAAAGAAAAACTTCCTGCCCAGCAAGTTCTGAAGGCAAATATCAGTATTATCAACACTCAGGTAAAGAATATCCAGCATTTTTACTATGAACTCTCCTACACTGCCTTTCAGCACGACATTTCTATGTAAAGCATTTCATTAAAAAAAAAAAAAAAAAGTCCAACCAACGAACACAATACTACAACCAGCGCTCCCAGAGTCACACATTGCAACACTCACTGGGGAGGTTCATCAGCGCTCAGGAATCCCATCACGTCATGGGCTGGGAGCCTCCTCCAGAGCTGCAGCCTCAGCCAGGAACTCGGGCACCAGTGCCTGACAATCTTGGCAAATGCTGACTTTTACCCCACAGTCATTCAAAGAATTTTTCTTAGGAAAGAACCCGGTAAACCCCAGCGTTGGCATTTAACTCTCACCTATTCTATGACCTTGTTTTTCCCTCCTGTGTTTTGCTGGGTGGTCTCAGGGCAGAAACCCACCACCCAAACCCTGTACTAGCAGGAATGTTATCTCACACACTCATTCCTCAAGTGCCAGCCCGTGGCTTGCTGAAATAAGATGGAAAATGAACTTTTGGTCAAAACACAGACATTTCTCAAGCACAGAACCATGCACTCATTCTTACAGGCAGATGTTTATCACTCCTTCCAAAGATATTCACTTGCCATAATTTTTACATTTTTTTTTAACTTCTCAATGATGTCTTAAACTTCACTGGGGAAGAACACATTAATAAGCTCCTCATTTCTGCTTTAAGATCCTCTATATGACATCTGTGAGCCTTAGAAAGCATTTTGCAAAAAAAGGAGCTGCTGCAGTGGCAGATTGTGTTTTCACAGACTTAGGGCAGGTTCATGTGCTGGCAGGACAGTCCCACTGCCTGAGCCCTTTCTGTCCCACACCTGATGATGCTGCAATGCGAGTAAACACCAATCTCCACAAGCCCATTTACTGCTTAATATCCAACATGGGAGACCCACATGATGGAGGGACAAATCACAGTTCATACTGAGAGCAGAAGGGAAAGAAGAAGCAGAAAGACAGAAAGATGGGTGGTGAACCTAACAAGGAACATTTCAGACACTCTTCTTTTCCCTTTCTCCTCTTAAAATTGAATAACCTTAACCTCAAAAAAACCCCCACCATTCTGACAAACCCATTTAGTTGGATACTACAATCAAAGTACTCCGAGCACATACAAAAGTGTTTTCAGATTAGCCTCGTGCTCATTAAATTAAAAGTCCTTTTTTGAGTTTACTTGTTCCTCCCTGAAAGAATTTTGCATGCTATGTGTAGTTCTGTGATCTACTGCTTCTTTGGATACTACCCCTGTTTTTAAGTATCAAGCTTAGAGACCCAGATGCTCAGGCCATCACATTACTCCAAAGTTTTCTGCTCAGGGCAAGGGCAGTGCCAGAGGAGGAAGTTTCTGGCAGAGAACTATTGGCATTATTAGGAATAATAAAACACTTGTCATCAAGAAATCAGAAGACAACATCTTTGACAGAGAAAGGCTGTCTGGAAAAACAGCTGAAAGTTTACATCACTGCTTAGAAATGCTGATAAAATTAATACACATTTTCCAGGAACAGGAATCACAAAGTTACAGAATTCTGAGCAGTTTTCTAAAAAAGTTTAGGAATGAATACACATTCCTAAACATTTCTCCTTCTCCATTTTGCAACTGAAGCATTGACTAACAGTTACTGCAATAACCCCTGAAGTATAATAAACTAGCAAGTCAGGGTAAACCATGAACTTTTAAAAATTATCACCTTCCAGAAAGAACATGAAAACTACATGAAGACAGCTTACATAGGGCAGCTTATACAGCACTGTGCAATTCACATTTTAAATCATAACTTGGCAAAATTAAAGAAGAAACAAGCTCGCAAATCTCCAAATAAATTCACAACCACTGAAAAGCATTTTGTTAGATGTGAACTGTATCTGAAACTTTGAGTCCTACAAATGATGTGTTCCTTAATCTGCACGGGGATCTAAATGAATGGGAGGTGCTAAAGAACAGGTCTGCTCTGTACTTCACTTGGGATTGTATTTGCTTACAAAAATGCTTCCTTAGTGATGATGTAGGAAGCAGCAATATGACAGATTGAATGTCAGATGCCAGATGAACAGCCATTACCAAGAAGCAGGTTTTATTTATAAAAGCAGCATGTTTGATGGAGAAGTATTTGAAGATCAAGTGAAAAATGCTTTCATAAGCATTTTTCATGCAAAACAAACCTAATGAAAAAAAAGTGCCACATTTGTCTAATATAGGGGTAGTATTTGTCAAATTAGTGCTGAAGTTCATTGACATATTTAGTCACTTCTAAAACAGGCACGTTTCTCAGATGATGTTTCTGTGACCCCCACAGGCTGTGCTATTAAGTCCTTGGCACCCTTAACATACAAACCAACCTCCCCACATGACATTATTTCCAAAGCATATAATGAATTTTTCATGGATAAAGAAAGCCAGAGCCATGCACAACTGCCTAGCCTTTTTATGCACCTCCACATGAAACATCCTGAACATTTCCATCTCAGACCGTGCACTGGCACAGCTGCAGTGGCTCAGGAAGGGGCCAGGAGAGCTGCTATTGCTGCAGCCCACCCCTGCCATCCAGCAAAACAGCTCGGCTGTGGGAAAGCAGCCCAGCTCTGCACGTGCCAAGGCACACCCACACGCAGGCAGATGGAGGGCAGGAGCTCCCATCCCTCTCTGTTGACTTTGAAATGGAATTTGCCATTTTAAATAGAGCCAGAGTACACAGGCATGTACAACGGAATGGCCTCGTGGAGCGTTACTGTAGAGCTCCTCCTTCCCTGTCTCATTCCCCATCCTTCCCTCCACATTTCTGGATCAAGGCCTTTTACATCCTAGCAGCAGCAAAAGCACAGCAGTTTGCTGGTTTCAAAAAAAGCCTTGCAGGATTGTGGACTGACACCATGAGCTATTTAGGGAAAAACTTGTGTCATGCGCTGAACGGGGCACCTGGGGTTCTTCAGGAACTTGTAGCTCCCTTCCCGGCAGAACTCGGCCCCTGGGAAGCTCAGGATCATTTGCCATCCCACCAACAGTCCCCCTGCAATTAATGCCATCCTTCCCTCCTGGCACATAGCTCATAGTGGTTTCCAGAGTGCTGCAAAGCATTTGGGAGAACATGGCTGAATCTAAGGCACACAGCTGCAGAATTTGGAGCTTAGCCTTTATTCGAAGTAAGGAAGAGCCACATTGAAGTCGAGCTCAGGAACAGATAACCACTGCTCCCACTCGGTTCATTAAGCACATGGCTTCTCTGTGACACAAACCTCAGCCTTGTGAGCCATCACTTATCTCTGCAAGGCTACTGAGCGAGTTCCTCCCTGGCTTCTCTTCAAAGTATGTGAAAGACTGAGGGTAATGAAAGCCTTGCTGGATGACACCTGCTCTACAGGAAAATTGGGCATTTCTCATTACTACGTTAACAGAAGCGAAGATGTCTACAAAGTCATTCAGTACGTGCCCAGAAATTTGCTCCCCATTCCAGAAGACCACAGTGACAAAAATCCCTGCCTGAGAAGTTGGCCCACTGGTGGAAGGAAAACCTCCACAGCAGAAATCAGTTAAGGCTATGCTAAGGTGAAGCCTTTCAAGATTTGCTTATCCCTGCGTTTTCATATGTAACAAGGAACATAACTTGGATGGCTTTTGTTTGTGTTTTTCCTCAGAGGGAACAGAAAAAAGGGGGTCATGGTTATGGCTTAGAATTCCCAGGACTCTGTTCTGGATGTGTCACCAGGGACCCTGCTGCTGGCTGATCTCTTCTTTGGTGTATAGTACTGGTTTGAATTTGCTTGACTTCAGTGCTTTCTTATCCACACTATCATTTGACCAAACTACTCACAGGTCACAGGCTACTCATCAGTAAAACAAGGGTTCCTCACATATGACAAGTCCCATCCCCAACAGTTACCACACCAAACAGAACCCCCCCAAATCCAAGTTATTTCAACTGCTATGGAGAAAAATCCTAGGCAATCTTCCTTCACATGCTGCCAGAATTTTTCACTAACTGGCAACCATCTCTGTGATTGCTAATCAGGTAGAGTCCAACAAACCATAGCTTAGGTTAGATGAGGGCAATCTCTGTTAGACAGTACTAACCACATCGTAACACCCAAGAGGGTCTTGGTGGAGATTAGAGAAATTCTGGAAAAGAAATCATTCAAGAAGCTTTGAGAAATTTCTCAGGCCTTCACCTCTCCCTGATCCCTTCAATCACATCACCAAATGTAATGCCATGGTGGCTGCACCTTGTGGTACTTGCTCGGTGATGCATGTGACACAGGCACTAGGGAATTACTTGCTGCATCACAGACTCCTCCAGCTCAACTGGCACTGCTACATCAGTTACAGAAACAATGCTGATATCAAGGAATAATCCTAATACTGAATAAACTACATATGACAATTTCAATTACAGGAATCTGAATGGAAACTACCAACCAAAACCATAACAAACACGGAAAATGTAAATATTTCCCCTTGTTCTAACAGTGAGGATTTCCTTAGATATTGTGGTTTATTTTGCTAATACCAATCACCCCGTTTAAAAAAAAACAAATTACCTGGGGACAAATGAAATGCTACAATAACTGACAGCCAGGTAACTTGGATACTGTACATCCCACTGTGTGCAAGCCAACCTGTCTGCATAGTGGTGCAATTTCATAACGAAATAGTATTAAAAGACCGTTTTTCTTATTTAACTTTCTGCAGGGGAATACCAGTACAAATATATACGTATATCTCCTTCAGGAACGCATCCCACACTCAGGATATTGCAACATCGCACACCAAGGATATTGTATCGCTGTGACTGATACAATTAATCAGAGCTTCTAGGCAGGGCCTTTGTTACAGATCACACACACCATTTATGGTCCAAGGCCGAGGGATTCTCCAGCCTCGAGCCATGCGCGCAGCGGGGATGGATGACAAGCAGGACTCGGGCAGGGCGGGTGCCCCCCTTGGCCGCGACCCGCGGCTGCCACCCGGGCAGGGCTATGTCCGCGGGCTGTGCGGGGCTGCGGGTGCGCTGCGGGCCGGCCGGGCCGCCCTGTCCCCCCGCGAGGGGCTGCCGGGGGCTGTCCCCGCTCCCCGCAGCCCCCGGCCAGCGCCGCCCCGCAGGATCCTGCTCTGCGCCCAGGCGCGCCAGGCAATGGCGTCAGGAGCAACCTGTCAGCACCCGCCTGCCGCCTGCCTCCTGCCTGCCTGCCTGCCTCCCCTTCCTCCTCCTCCTCCTCCCCCTCCCGGGGCTCGCAGCGCGGCCGCCCCCGCGCCCCGCCCGCCCCGCGCATCCCGCAAAGGCTCCCGAGCGCGGCCCCGCCGCCGCCGCCGCCCCGAGGGTCGCGCCGCCCGCCCCCGCAGCACCAACACCCCGGTGCCCCCGGCTCGGCTCACCCGCCGCGGTGCTTGCTGTCCATGCGCTTCTTCTGGCGGACGGGCTGCAGCGGGATGTTGTCGGTCATGGCCGCGGTGCCGGGGCGGAGCGGAGCGGAGCGGGCGGGATGCGCTCCCAGCAGCGCCGAGCCGGGCCCGCCGCCGTCTGGCGGCAGCGCCGAGGGGCCGCCCGGCGCCGCCGCTCCCAGCACGCAGGTGCCGCGCCCGCCCCGCCCTCCGCGCCGGGCACCGGGGCCGGGTGTCTCCTCCGGGGGTACCGGGCTGCGGGTCGCGACTGTCCCTCCGCCCGCCTGTCCCGGAGCGCCCGGTCCTATTCGGCCCCGCGGACTCGGGTCCGCTCCGCACTGGTCCAGGCAATCCTGCCCAGCTCAGCCCAGCCCGGCCCTACCCTGCCCAGCCCAATCCAGCCCTGCCCTGCCCTCCCCTCCCTTCCCTTCCCCACCCCTCCCCTCGGCCGGCACCTGCTCTGCCCCAACCCCACACCTGGGGGTCTTCGCCTCATCCTGCCCCATCTCCTCGCACCCCATCTCCGTTTCTCACCACCTCTCAGGACCCGGCTCTCCCGCACCGGCCCCGCTGCCCAGCTGTGCCCGGCAGCTCCGCACCTGAGGCCTCCTCGCCTTCATCCCAGGGGAAGGGCCCGCTGCACATCCCGTGTGTCCTCAGCCTTGCGCAGCCAGCACGGGCTCCAAGCTTGATCTCCCCTTCTTTATACATCCCTCCACTCGTATTACAGGACTGTGCTTTATGGTGCTACTGCTCCTCACACCCTTCTTGCTCAGTGACCTTCACCCACTCCTGGCAACACTTATTTCTGGATCCCAGTTCAGATTTCCTCTGCCAATCTAGGCACAAATTGCTCCAGCCTATTTATGACTTTAAGCATCTCTTTACATTCATGGTGACTAAATCTTTATTAAATCTAAATATACAAGTCAGATTCAAAAAAAGCACTGGGGTACAGAAGCTGAAATATGTGCTTCGTATTTTACCAGACAGGGTCCTGGATGCCACCATGATCTTTTCTTCATGGTTGCTTCACATTCCTGCCCCAGCAAAACTCTGCCCTACATGTCTTTGACACCTGTTTCACTTTCTCCATCCATTCATCTCACTTCACTCCAGCTCTTCTACCTCCACTGCATCTTCCTCTCACCATCTCCATATCTTCATGTTTTTCTTTGCCATAAACAAGAAATCAAAAGAATCTTTTAGGCACTGCACACCTGCTCATATCCAACCCATTACCTTTTGTGCTGTTGACCTTATTCACTATTCTAAACATGAAAAACAAAATTCCCAGTGACAGAGACATATTTCATAGGGCAGATGAGAAACTGGTTCTGCAACGGTCCTGCTCAAATGAATTACACTCTCCTAGTGATACTATCAGGAAAAAAATTGGTCAAGACAAATATTCATATAACACATCCTTCTTACAATGTGGAATGCTAAAGCACATCTAGAAAACCACAAATAGGGAAGTCTAACAGGGTAATGGTATCTGCTCAGCCACCAGAACCGTGTCAGTGGAGAAAACCACCAAGTGACTGAAAAAAATGTCAGCAACAGTAACAAAGAAAAAATTGCTTCCAATTGTGTAACTGGTGAGGCGATGGCCCTGTGTCACAGTGTCACAGCAGGTCCATGGGTACCAGCCCCCATCCCTTGCAAATCACTTCCTCACGTTCCCCTCTAACACTTTCCTCTCTTTGTGGCTGTGCTCTACATCAGCTCTGCAAAAAGGGCTGGTTTTACAGAAAACATCTGTCTGGAAGAGCTCCTCGATTTATTTATTTATTCCAATCAAATCCCATTAGGAGCTGGATGCTGAGCACAGCCTGGGAACAGCCAGACAGCACTAGCGAGAGTCCTGCAGCCTTGGGAGGGCATGAGCTTGGATCCAAGGCTTCTTCAGGTGGATTTGCCTTGAGGGGAATCACAACGGGGGTGGCAGACCTTTCCTGGAGCCCTGCCTGCACCGAGCAGTAGTTGTGGAGGTGGCTGTTGCGGGTGCTTTGGGCAGAGGCTCCAGCCCTGTGGGCATCGCCCATCCGAGTTTGCTCTCACCACCTGCACAGCCTCGGCAGTGAGGGCAGAAACACGCTGGGGGCTGTCACTCGTGCCAGAGAAGCTTCTTCCTGCTTGAAATGACCCAAATTTACCCTGGTGCACCTCTAGAGATGGAGGAAATGCCCAGTGCAGGTAATGATCGTATGAAATAGTCAGATCTGCACATCCAGCTCAGCCTCTCACACTGCGGTCACCCAAAAATCTGAACCTCTTTCTAGTGCATGAGCAGCTTATTTCTCATCCCTTTACAAACAGGCTGCAAACCCCTTCATTTAACAAATAACCTCAAGGCTCTGCAGAACTAGAACACCACAAGCACAATAACCAACAGCAGAGGATGAGTAGGTAAGCCCAAGTGTAAGTAAGCTCAAAATCATCTTTTTTTTTTTTTTAACATACTAAAAAGTAGCATATACCAAACTGACCGTATTTCTTTAAGATGAGGGATGTTTGCATATATCTTAAAATGAGCTCAAGGTAATCTTAAATATAGTTAATAGTACTTTCCCAGTGAAAAATGAAGACTATTAAGAAAATAACTCAAAATAATATATGCAAAAAAACAGGAGCAAAGAAGAGTGAGTCACATCAGAGTTTCTGGGCAGCTTTTTCCTTTCCAGCCCTCACTATGCTCTAGCTCAGGTTACACTGTGGATTACACCAGCAATTGTCATTTAATTTTCCCTTACAGTTGAAGCAGAGTCATCCTAACATTTTGTAATGAGGACATTTCAGCAATGTAATGAAGAGTTACACCAGCTTCAGGCACCAGCACTGAGACTGTTTAGGCAGATATTTCCAATGCCATCCTAACTAGGGCTGTCTTATTACAAAACTGTTTGTAGAACTGACTGTTAGGCTGTATTTCAATTAAGTAATACCATGTTTTAATTTCTTATTTCTCAATCTACTGTTCTTATCCCCTCATGGGGACAATTGAAGTAGAAACAGAAATCCCTTCTCCTCCCACAAACACTTCAGCTCATGAAACATATTTGCTCCATTTTTTCTCATATTCACCATCTGAAATATTTTTTTCATATGAAAGAAAATATAGGATGGTAGGATTCACTGGAAATGTTGATTTAATAAAAGGAGCAACTGAAGAACCTAAACAGGACATTGTACTTGACCCAAACTATTCACACCATTGCCACAAAACTACTGGCCTGACACTGTACCTGGCTGAAATGCCAATCCTAGCCTTCAGCCTTGGTTAAAATAAAACTTATCAAATGCCACTGTTATTTGCTTTGAGGTGAAAATGGCATTGGATTTTAAAACATCCATCATTCTTTTAAGCACCACATTTTGGCCCTTGATAACTTTGTGATCAGACAGAAATTAATGACATCCTACATGGAGCAGCTAAATTTCCTCCCTGTCATTTCTGCACATGGCCCAACTCCAACATCCAAGAACGTGGGAGGACAAACAGCTGACTGACTCAGTCCCAGGAATCCTAAAAGAAGAGCAAAGGGATGCACTGCAGCCTGCAGACTTACTAACACAGCACCTGAGGAGCCAAACAAACTTCCAAAGCCTCCCTTACGGGCACTCTGATTTTCTGCCTTGTATTGAAACACTTTGGATTTTTAGTTAGAAAATCACTGTGAAGGATCTAGACTAGGCTGTAACCCAATGGGCTAAACCCACTCCTTGATGTATTTTTGGCATAACATTAGCTTTGCTGTAAAGATTTCACTTGTGATTTCACCACTCACAGCAGGTACAAGCTCTCCTGCTTTCCAAGCCTTTGATTTTCATTTGCCTGTCGAGAAGGAATGCCCAAGGGAAAACCTCTAGCCTAGAACTGGGAAGTTAGATTTGTTAAATCAAGTGAAATAAAACCTATTTTGGTTTTTCTGATGCCACTGGATTGTTCTGATGCTTTAATTTTGCAAGCACGTAACTTGAGGCTCACAAAGGAGCCCTGCAAGCTGCAAAATTCATACTGCATCACTGCTAATTAAAAGGAGCTCATTTATTTTCCATCATTTTAAATCATTATCTATGTTTTGATTTTTTTCTCCCAGGACTTCCCCCCCCCAGATGATTAAATTAACAGCACAGCAAGCAGTTTTATACCCCTCAAATGCTGTCAGTGTTCTCACCTCTGCACATTGTAAATCCCATTTCAAACCCAGAAACTGGTTATTGAGGTTGAGCTCTCATCTTTAATGGGAAGGGTTGTATAAATCTACCAAGTTGTTGATTGGGATGATTTAACCTCTTTTCCCAGGGCAGGCAGCACAAGCACTTGCTTTGCCAGTAGACTTATGTTTTATGCACTGAATGATCTTCGGTCTCTCGTGATCTGACATTCAAGCTCACAATGACAAGGTGAAGCTCAATCTGGCAAAGCACAGCCTATGAACAAAACTGGCTCCAGGGTGTGTCTAAATCAAACAGAAATTTCTATGTCCATGGCCCTGTACCATCATGGTTCCCGGTGGTTTTGGAAGCCTTTTCAGCCTTATCTTTTGTCCTTCTCCTCCAGTTCTCCACTGTACCTCTGTGGTACAGAGCTCTGCCACCTCCTTGTCCCCATGGCTTTGCCTCCTCCTCTGTGCCCATGACAGCAGCTCCTCACCCACAGGTGATGCCTTCCAGTGGCTTTCACTGATCCTCAAATGCGTCCAGGTCTCTAAGCTCCACTGATTAAAGAACATGTAAATAAAGTGTATTTTGGGGGTGTGCCCATATTCCTCCAAGGAGCAAGTCCTCGTGCCAGTTTTCCACTCAAACAATGGATGGGTGGTTTTGACAATGCACTTGCAAATTGTGCTCATTACCTATTTAGCACAATGTGCTATAAATTTTCTTCCATTATAGCTGTGCTACTAAATAAATAATTGAGCTTTTTATGAATAGGACTCTAGTTTTGGGTTTTTTCCTTGATGAACACAGAGGAAGGTCATAATAATGATATTCTGTTTGACATTTTATATGCTGAAAGATTAATTCAGTTTTGGAACCACATTTAGTTTTTATCCCTAAGCATGAGTAGCAAATTATAGATAATTCTGACATCTAAGGAGTTGGCTCAGACTAA